TAACATTAATCTTATTAATATTAAAAATAAATTACAATCATCCTTTTTCTATAATAGATTGTCAATTCTAAATCAAATAATTACAATGTTCAAATAATGTGCATGTCTGAAGTGCGCTTACTAAAAATACCCTTATAAAGATCTTTTCATAGTATCTAGCAATGTATTCATTACTTCCCCGTTCCTGGTTTTGCGTAACTGCGTTGCGAGCTACTTATAAAAAATAAATGTTATTATATCCAAGAAAACGTAAAGTAGAATTGAATATATTAAAGGATGCTCCCCATGATTTAGGGATATCGGATGGGTTGTCAGCAGATTTCCATTGCACTATAGGTTGTGGATGAACGCTGTATGATGAAATATTCCCTTCTCTAACTAATGCAGAAAGAGAATGATCGATTGTTCCATATGGCTTTACAGGATCAATGAATTTAACTAGTTTGTGGACTCCAGAATGCGAAACGGCATATGCATGCGTACATAATGGATCTACGGACTTATATAATTTATGTACAAAAGAATTTTTGCTGATTTGTTCGCCAACAGATTCATAGCAATGGCCTACGTATAATACATCCCAAGAGGCAGGTAAATCACGATGAATATCAGTCATAATAGCAGTTATGTTCAATTCAAAGTCCACATCATCTTCCAAAATTAAGACATTATTATAACCCTTATCAATCATTATTTTATAAATTGAATAATGACTTATAAAAACAGCTTTTTGAGCAAAGTCCATATCTGCTGTACCGAACTTGCGGAGAATGTGTCTATTGTATTTAGAAATAGCAGAGAAGTAATCAAATTCTAAATCAAAATAAGAGGCTATGTTGTCAAATTTTTCACGCCTATCCATTCGATGATTGAGATTAATTACATAAATGTGATCAAAGCCAAGCGTGCGATTTGATGGCTTAAACTCTTTTTGTAAATTTAAGTCTGTAGAATAACCCCATAATGGTCGGAGTATAAAATATGAAGAGATTAAAATTAATAAGTAAATGAAATATTTTCTTGTCGTGAATCGGAAATTTAAGAATTTCTTTGGCGTAATTATTAATGAATAATTAGAATTCGAATTCATATTAAAATAATTTCTTTGAATAGTTTCGAAAAAATTTAAAAAGTCTGCTTTTATATTTGTTTCGTCCCGCGTCCCGTCTATATGAAGTCGATCTTTACAATCAATTTTGAATAAGTAAAAAAAGTACATCAATTATTTAATTTTTTGTTCTCATAATATAAAATTTTAAATACATAAATTCAGATATCGTAAATTGGGCTTAGCTCCAATAGTTAACGTGGTACGATCGCTTTAGCTAATAATGAATTATCGTTATGGCATTATACCATTCTGTACAGCTTGGCATAAGCGCGTGATCAGCTGATCACGTCCAAAATCAAAGCTTAATATCGTTATATATTTTATTCGGTCAATTTTTAATCTAAGCAGACTGTGTCTAAGGTTGTGTTACGAAAATTACATTCCATATTGGCGAAAATCTCCAATTTCATGATTATTTAACGCGAGTGATTAGGTTATTGAGATCCGTATCAGGGCACAAAATTTCCGGATGCCGGAAGCTGCTTTTTCTCCGGCAGTGTTTATTTTAACCGGAACTTAGAAAACTCAGCCGGATGTAGCAGTTTTTTAATAATGATATTGCAATATTTATTAATATTTATATACATACGTATATATGATATCATATTCGGCAATTTTCCGACTGATGAAAAGTCAAGG